TAGGTGACGAAAATGACACCAAAGGGGCCAAAAAAGTATGTTCTGTCACATTTCTTGGTCTAAAACGGCTGGGATTCAGAGAAGATTTTAAAACTTAGAGACAACAAAGAGGGTTTTTTTTTATATTCTGTCTAATTCCGATGCTTTTCTTATTTTTATGTTCACAATCCTGCCCCAGGGTTTAATCCGTACTTTGGTTCAAAGCTCCAATTTATGATATCGTTTCTTTTATCTTCAATTTCAGAATTGTTGAGATTGGCCTAAAAAAAACACTGAAAGAAAAGCTTGTTAGCCCAAAAATATTCAGCTAGTTTCAGATAATGATAGGCCTTTCATGTTGATGGACCTTAATTTTTTTGTTTTTGTTTTTTTTTAGACAATAGGCGTCGTCACACAAGCAAAAAAGAAAAAAGAAAAACAACAACTAAATAGAATCTTTTAATATAATTATTCTGACAGATTGATCTGAAATCAAATCATCTGGAAATAGAAAAGAACAGAGACACTTGAAGTCCTTGAAGCAAACTTTATTGGTAGATAATCAAGTTTAAGTTTGTGGCCTAATTCAGGGTCATTATAAATCCCCACACTATTTAAATGAAAATTGCCTAACAAAAAAAAAAAAAAAAAATCAAATAAACCAATCACATGTTTACACACACATACACCAGCTAGCCAATCAGAATATAGGGGGATGTTATATGCTGGTACTGGCTGAGAAACTTCATTTTTGTTAAAAATAAAAGGACACAGAAACACTCTGCAACCGTAGGAATACAAAAAAGAAATACATTTTAGTGTTATTATATGGAAGCTCAATTTCATATCAGAAAGACAAGGTGGACTCAAGAAGCAAAAATGTGTTAGTTAGAAACTAAAAGAGGACACAAAAAATAAATGTTGTTTTCTTCTCTACCTTCATGCCAATGACAAGGGCCAACAAAGAAACCATCTAAAAGAGAAAAATTGGCTATTCTTTAGATTTATTCAAATTTTAATGTTCTTAATTAAAACCCTATGGAAAACTGTTTTCCTTAACAGTTTATCGAACTTGAAAAGTTGGTCTTTATGCATCTTGAAAGTTGGTGAAGTTGAGCCAGAAATCTCTTGAAATTACAGCAGAGGATATATAAAATATAAATTCTATTGCGCTCTGGAAAAATAAAATAAAAACTTCATAGCAACCATGAATTATGCAGGTTGTCATGGTTTTTGGATGCAGTACCAAATAAAACTAAGATCCAGGATTTCCTCGACCAAATTAACTGATCTTATTGGGATGCAGCGGTTGATTTGAATATATATGGGTTAAGAATAGGGCCACTATATTGCCAAAAAAGAGTAGGAATGGGATGCTAGATGAACATGGCGTCAATATGCTGTTTGTCAACCCTTTTATGTTAAAACAGCACTGCTTTTCAGGGAGGCGGTTTAAGGAGGTTCTGTGTGTCTATGGGATTTTTGGACGATTCTTCCTGAAAAACCAATATTGAAAGTCTGGCTCACATTCACTGTTTTAATTTCAGCTTGGGATGAATTAAAACAGTGACTCTAAGCAGGACAGCAGTTTACTCCACCAAACTGAAACAGCCATGTTTTCATGGCCGTTGCATATCCACTGCTTTACTGTGAAGTTGGAGAGGGAAGGGGGCGTCCCCAAATGGTTCCCACACAACTCAGTGACATGAAATCATCTGAGATAACTTGGCATGCAGCAGTGTTGAGGGTTACTAGAACCAGGGGGCCCAGCTTAACTACTGAACAACAGCCCCTCTGCTCCAAACTTGACCCAGTGCAATCAGGCAATGGTTCTTCTCCTGCCAAACCTGATCTCCAGACATTTGCTTTAGTTTGGCATGCATAGAGGGATAGGGCAGGTCATTTCATAAAAAAAACAACAATATCCACTGTTCTAGAGTGCAGTGACTGTGGAGGTCTGTAGCTATTCACCTTGCACCTTTTATGAGGCCTACCCGAGGTGCTGCAGTTCCTGTGCTTCCACTTTGTTATGCCAGCAGTAAAGTTAGTGCAATATTGAGTTTTGAGGGAAATATTATGATTGGATTCAGTCCACCGCTCTTGAAACCCATCCCTTCTTTTGCCAATGTCTGTGCACAACTCTTAAATATTTGAATCAGTATATTTTTTTTAGATTTCTTTTACTATGTCCATTTTAGATGCCAACACTTTACATATATCAACAAATACCATATTATTTATGTTTTCTAAATGTAAAGGTAATATATTTAGAGGATAATTCATGTCTTTAAATCTTTATATATATATTTTTAAATGGCATCAAGTTAGTATAAAACATGTAAGTATATATTTAATTTCATTTTCGTTCTCTCAAGTTTTTATCATTACAAAAACATTTAAAAGTGGCAAAAATTATACTTGCTCTAGTTTATACGTTACGGAAACATTTGCTATTGGACAAACTGTTAAAAATCTAATGGAGGTATCTTTTAAAGTGAACATCAACACTGGCAAAAATATTGATGGATAGCAACTAAAGTTTTTAAACCAGTTAAAACCCAGCTGCAAATCAGCCTGACCAGTTTACTAAGGAACTTGTTAAATCTCAACCTAAGACGGTACTTTGAGCACAGAAATATCTGATCTTAGCAGGGACTTTGCAACAAATTCTCTGATTATATAATACAATTAGTAGTCTTTTAATTTCACAATAAACTTTCATCTGCTTTTTGTAAGCTCCACATTTGTTTGTAACTTCTTTTAGATTTGGTTGTAGGTAAAGACAAAAAAGGGTTAAATTGGAGGCAACCTGACTTTCGCTCAGTTTTTTGAAAATGTTTCTGTCATGATCTTGGCGCTGATGACAGGCTTGAGTGTGTATTCTATTCACCTGTCTAGCTCCACCCAGTTTCTCTTTACCGTTCATCTATGCAACCTGCTCCAGTCTCTATTTAACCTGCCTGTTCCCAGTCATCAGATAATTTGAGCCTTTGAAGAGAGTTCTCTAGCGTACCCGATTGTGTTTTGATTGTCTGATCCTGATCCGCTCCGATTTTGTACCTTTGAGCCTGTCCGTTCCTGTTCTGATCTGTTTGCCTGACCTGTCTTCGGACTCCTGCTGGATTTTGTCAATTGACGATCCTGGATCTGCTTCCTGCTTCCCTTTGATACCTCTTCAGGTCTCTCATCCTTTGGCTTGGACTCCTGTGAACCCCTTTAACACAGGCTTTGGCTTCACCCTCTGGATTGTCCTGCCTTCCTTCGTCTGCTTGGATCTGGTTTTCTGCCAGTTCTGCAATTTCAAGGTTTCAGCATTTGGAACCCCCTCGCCAGCGTTCGCTGTGTTGTGTTGGCAGCCATTCGGCTGGAATACACCTCTTCCTCTGATGACAGACTGAACTTTAAGAGCAGAGGTTCCTGCCTTTGACATCCTTGCAGTTACTGCAGATCCACCGTTTTTTTTATAAACGCCTTTTTGAGAAATCTGTCTGTCTGCCTTGATTACTGGGTCGTCTGTTCTGAGTCCTGGCAGTTTCTATACCTATCATTCAGCCTTTGTCCATCCTATTAACACGCAAAGGCATGTTTCTGTTTATGCATGTTTAACATTTGTGACTATGAGTATTCTCTGTCTTTCTTGCAAGTGTCAAATAAGTTTGATGAAACATGTTTCATTATGTATAATAATGCTTTACTTACAAGTTTCAACCAAGGTACAGTATATACTAACTGGCAAAAATTAGTAAATGTCTTTGCTGTATGGGATGATTGAAACTCTCTCCAGCCTGCTGATTAATGGACTTTTATATAAGTATTACCAGAAGTTAAAGTGTGCATTAGAGCTTTAAAGGAAAGCTCAAACACGTATTATTATTATTTCAGGGTGTGATGTTGGTGTTCAGGGACGATTTCAAACCAAGTTTGCCAAGTGTATGTTAGCTCACTGCCCAGCAGAAGCAGTAATCCCCGCCTCCTGGGAATCCCACAGATCAAGCAGCGACCACAGCTTTTAGGTTACATGTCTTTTCCCCTCTTGTCCCCTGGCTCCTCTCCATCCTCGTTCTTTCTGCGGATACCAACAGGCCCCTGGCCCTCTGCCCTGTCCCACACGGTGGTGAACGATGTGTGTCAAATTTCTCAGAATGTGTTTGGGTGCTGTCACGCCAACTTTGCAGCACATTAATCATAGAGTGAATGTGGCTAGAGATGCTATGAATCCTTGCTGGTGTTAATGTATTATTAAAAGAGTAAAAAATTATCCGCAGGAGGGAACTACATTTGGTAAATGTGAAAAATTCAGAAGCCGTTAAAGAGACAAAGATGTTTAGTGAAGAAGTTGTGGTTATTGTTGAGCTTTGAGGGAAGAGGCAGTCGACTGTTAGAGCAGGAAGAACATTTCTGCTTCAGTAAATATAGTGTTTCCACTCATTATATTGGTATAAAAACTAATTTAAATCTCAATGAATAAAGCGAATAAAAGTGGTAGAATAATGGCAAAAACCTAAAACAAAATCTTTTTTCTTAACCTGAATTAAATCACAAACTTGTATTTTTCATGAACTTAGCAGCTGAAATAATAAACTTTTATTTGATATTTTGATTGATTAAAATGCACCTGTTTGTATTTCACATCTGAAGAATTTTACTATATATATATATATATATTCTTTTTTAAGAACAAAAAAAAAAATGTACTTATGGTCTTTATTTACAATGTGCAAAGAAAAACTGTTAGCCATTGAAACTACCTTTATTTACAATATTACTCTACACTATGAAGCAGACATTAGAGTTACCTTTGTCTGGAAATGAGCAATAGAACCCAAAACTCCAAAAGTGCTTGTGCCAAGTGGCCCAACTTGAAAAAGAGTAGAGGTCCTAATCTATCCACCAGTTCTACAGGTTTTTTTTTTTTTTTGCCAAAACTGTTATTTTATTATAAGCTATTGTTGATAATGGAACTCTTTTGTAACTGTAACACTCCTTTAGTGATTTTAAAGCAAAAAAAACAATCCAAGCTATTTTTATATAAAGAAAAGTCTTTAATATTTATGTCCCATTTGCAAAAAAAAGAAAAAATGCATAAAAACATCGGAAGACACTGCATATATACATCATGTTCGCTACCTTGCAGCTACCTTCTCCAGGAGATAAGCACAACTGCCTTTCTTTTTTAATTATCAAAAAAAAATTCCATGAAAAAAAAAAACGCCATCATTTGTTTGTGTTAGTAAAACAAGGAAAGCCTTCAAATGTATACTTTTTTTTAAATTATACACTTACCATTTACAAATAAATACAAATCATCAAACATTTACAGACATGAGCACACACGAGAAAAAAAAAAAAAGGGAAAGGAAGACAAATCCACCACGGCGACAGTGTGAACTGTTGTGCGTGACGAATCAAGCACGTGGCAGGGTAGGCTGAACTTCAACTGAACTATTCCCAGTAGTGCAATTCAGAAGCTACAGCAGTAGCCTGACAGAACTGAGACTCAGATTGGATTAGTCTTGAATGATTTTGTGCAACAACAACAACAATAAAAAAAACTGATGTGAACACAAAGGTCAGATGCATTTGCACTGAAAGGACAATATCAAAAGTGAACATTGACCCCTCCTCCCCTCCAAAAAAAAAGCATCAGCTCTGCAGAGATGTTAAATAAAAAAGAAAAGTAATCGTTTGGGTTACACATCTATTTTCCTTGCTAAATGAAGCAATAAAGTTCATCTTCTTGACATGAATATTTGAAATCTGTCACTTTTGTTTTGTGTAATCAAATCTTCACCCCATTACTGCTTTTGTCAGACTGGTGCAGAGATGTTTCCTAATGGGTTTATATTAAGCATGAACAGACTTATTATACTTCCTTCATCTCTTCTGCAATGACCTCAGAGCTGCTGAGCAGCGCTGCCTTGCTAATAAACACACAAAGAGGTATGACAGAAGATTTTTCTTTATCTTATTCACTCATTTCTCTGGCTCTAATAGGAGTTTAACATTATTTGGTGATTAACTGCTCACTGGCTAACCTGTGTCCCACTAATACAGATGGTAAAAGACTAAAAATAGCCTCTAGAACTATATATATAACAGCATAACATAATGCTTTAGCACTAGGATGTATTTTCTAAAGAAAAGTGTGATCCAACAGAAAATGTCTGGAGTTTGCTATTTTAAGTGGAACCAAGGGAATTTATTCATATGAAAATATTTAAGTATTATTATTAATTCTAGGCTAAGATGATGGGAATTTGCATGATCTAAGGTTATATATCATTTTGAAGTGTGAGACAAGCCAAACCAACCTGTTCGGTTTCACAACTATTGATAAAACATTTTCAAGTCCCTGCAACGGTAGTGACTGAGTTTTGTTGCACGTAGCAACAAGCAGCCCCTGCTCAAAAAGTGTCCTGCAACTATTGCTACCCCCGTGAACATTTTAATATTTTGTCACGTTGCAACTAGAAATTTCTCTCTTTTTTAGAATTATTCTTAAGGATAAAGCAGCACAAATTACTACATCATTATGAGGTTAAAATAACTTGATAAATAGCTTACGAAATAGTTGTTAGATGATTCTTTGAAGGACTCTTCATAGGATTAAGTCTTGAAAAGTACCTATATGTTAACTTTCAAGTCTTACCACGTATTCTTGTCTTTAGGTCTGGGCTTTGACTAGGCCCTTTTAGCACAAGAAAATGGTTTTATCTAAACCAATCTGCTGTAGCTCTGACTAAATGCTCAGACTTGCCCTTTCAGGAAATGAACTGCCACCTCACTCACAGCACTTTTGCAGCCTTTGAAATATCCTTCCAGCATTGCTCTATCTGGTTCCTTATGTGGTTCCTTTTCCTTCCAGAGTAAAAACATCCAGGAGGTGCTGCCAAACTGATGAACAATTCACTTTCTGAGCACCCAGATCGATACTAAAAGTGCAAAAACCTGTCAAAGCTGATTCAGGTTATTTTGAAAAACTGCAGAGATAGAGATGTAGAAGGTGATATGCAGCATGTCTGCACACATTCTTTTCATTTCATCCCACTTTCTTTTACTTATTCCCTGCAAGCAGGACCTCCTACATGCAACCCTTGGTTATTTCCCAGTACTCTTCCATAAAGGCGACATCTTTGTAGATTTCTCACATCTAAGGGGGAAGCTCTGTTGCTCTTCCAGAGTTGCGAAACTATTAAAATCCTAAAAGAACATTTTAATGTTTGTGGTATGACAAAATCTTAAAAAGTGCAAGGGGTGTGAATACTATTTAAAGGCACAATAAATCACTGAAGACAGTATGAAAAAAAAAACATTTTAATAAAGCTCCGAACTGTATGAAAAATGACTTAAACCCTATTAAGAATTTGACAAATGTAGGAAAACATGTCATGATTATGCTGGTGAAGATTATGAGTCATCCAGTTCATGTTTTTAATTTTCTTTTTTTGGAATGTCATGCTTATCTGAGACTAAATAGACCTTGTTTTATTTTTTAAAAGATGAGGCTTTAGTTTTTTCAATGGATTTAAAATGATGGAGGCAGCCGCCATCTTGAAAGTTTATTGTTTCCTCTGTTTTAATAATGTGTCTGACCCTTAAAGCTGATGTTTTAAATGCTGAGTCCAGTTGTTTTCCGGCCAGTTTGGCTGTTTAACTGCGGAGCAAAGCTGTTCCAGGAGGGAGGCGCCGATCATTTTACTTCTATTGTCATTTAATGCCTTTATAGCTTTGGTCATTATAAACTTGAATTCTAACAAAGGGGCCAAATCCCACATCCCTTCCCATCGTGCCCCAAAAAGTCCCCTTTCTGAACATGAAAAAGTAATCCAGGAAAAACCTTTTAAGTCTTTTTTTTTTTATAATCTTTAAACTATTTCCCAAGCAGATTTTTGTCAGGTGAACTAACTTTCCTTATTTCACAGGATCCTATTGGCTCAAATGATGATCAAAACTACAACAGGGTGAAATCTTAATAATGTACAATTAATTTAAGTAATGCTTATCGAGGCTGTTTTGATTTTTTAATCTTGCAACTGTACACATACTTAACTACAAAGGAGAATAAACGGTAATAATTGATCACATGGGTAGAAAATGAAAGCATGAAGGGACAAACTGTTGAAAGGGTGAATAAAAGAAAATACTTAAAAAATATATATTTTTAAAGAAATCTCATTTTATTTTATTTTTTTCATGAAAACCCTACATTTTTAACTATATTTCAAACTGCATCTACATTTACTTTTTGGGAAACATCACAAAAAATATTCAAAATTCAATTTTTTCAGTGCCTTTGAAGTGCATTCTCCTAATCCTGATGGTGAATTAATTTGTCAGTAGATGTGAGCTTTCTCCTGTGTACAAAGTTTAGAAAAATAAAATTTCCCCTGCAAAAGCTTGGTGCAACAACAATACAAAACTAAAGAAAGATGTGATTCTACACATCATCTAAACAACTATTATTTTTCTCCATGTCTCTAAATCCAAAAGTGCTTAAAATCCAAAATCTGTACCTTTTAAAAAGTAACATCTTCTGGTTGGAAAGTCAAATTTCTGATTGTCACAACACTGATGCCTGAACCTGAGACCTTTTCATAAAAAATAGAAACAATATGTGACGTCCTGGCAGTCACGGTAACCGTTGTCTGTAATGCTGGTACTAGTGAAACATCAGAGGAAAAGAATTTCATACACACTGATCTGTTTGTGGTTTTGCGTAATTGTGCGTGTGAAGAAGGGGGGTTGGGCAGACGGGTATCTGCCGATGTGTTCACGTGTTGCTAATGCACTCTCACTGCATGTAGATGTAGGGACTGGACTTATGGTGGCCTGTGCTCATCACACATGGCATAACGTTCCTGGAGCCGCCCATCATGGACTGGTTCATTTCATGGCCGTTCTCAGACCAAGGGGGGGAGTCCATGGGCTCCCGTTTGATTGAATGGATCAGGCCGTGACCTTTGAACTCATAATCGCCATGCTTGTTATAGTCCGCGTGCATGTAGGCCTTTTGAGGGTAGAGGTTTGAATTCATGAGGTTGACCGATTGGTTGCTGCATAGAGAGTCTGAGTGGGAGAGTCTCTGGGGGCTGAACTGGTTGGAATCACTGTTCCCGACCAAGTCTTTGTCACATTTTAACAGACGGGTGCCGTTGTTGACTGCATAGTTGGGGTAGTTGCCATTATTGTATGTGGGGCTGATTCCTGCTTTTCCTCGCTGACAAGGGGAGTACTGTGGGTCGTAGTAATCAGTTTCTGATTTAAGCTGCAAACCAGCGTTGGAGTCGTACACCCCGTTTCCGTAGCGGCGGTCCATGGCCATTTGGTTGCGACAGCCCCACGTTTGCCCGTATGCTTCGCATCCGTTCTCAGAGTCTGAGTCATGCTCTATTTTAATAGGTGGCATTTCTGGCATCATGTGGCCTTCATAGCATTCCCCGAAGTCGTTCTCGCTCTTCACCAGGTCTACGCAGTAAGCATCGGGGTCCGATGATCCGTACAGCTTCGAGACAAACACATCTGCACCCCTGCCACTGTGGCAACTCGGAGAAAGGCAGTAGGGCTTACCGTACTGGCCAGTCCTGTTTAAACGGTTCGAGGGGATGTAGCCCACTCCCTGAGCAGCTCTGACGGCCCCCAAGTGCTGTCGCCTGTGCCAGCCTCCACCTAAGCCCGACCCGACACCTTTATGGACAGTCATAGAGGACTTGCAGAAATTGAGAGGCTCCTCTTGGTTGTAGAAGCCATCAGGGCTGAACTTAAGGTTGTCTTTGCAAAGAGGGTTCCAGGAGCCATGATGACTTCGTTGTGTAGAACCCGGGTGGGGACAAGAAAAGAGGAGAGGGTCGGTCATGTCACCCACTCCTCCACTGATGGAGTGCCTCCTTAGGTGATCCCCATGCTCACTGTGAAGGAAAAAGATAAGACACCCTTCATTTATTTTATTCTTACCTAATACCAGCTAAATGTAGATTACATAAAAACTACAACTTTATTTTCTTAAAGGATTAATGGTCAATTAAGCAACTAATTAATGTCAATTCTTAAAAGGATAATGTAATAATTAGTGACATTATATAAGTAATTTAACTAGGGCTGCAACAACAAATCGATAAAATCGATAAAAATCGACTTTTAAAAGAGTTGGCAACGAATTTAATCATCGACTAGTTGTGTCGCGCGATTAATGCGTCATCCGCCGCCGCCGTCATCACATCCACTTGACTGAAAGGGGGAAGAAAAAAAAATATGGCGGAGCGAATCAGCGCCGCAGTTGCAATGTTGCCAACTCAGCGACTTTTCAGACCCCTTCAGCGACTATTTTTCAAAAAAAGGACTAGCGACAAATCTGGCGACTTTTTACGGTGTCACTGGCGGCTTTTGGAGACTCTTACGTGAAAGCATGTATCGTTCCTACTCTGCCGTGGGGCGCCTCCCCCATCCCAACCCCGTTCTCCCGCAGGAGTCCCTCAAAGCGCTGCAGTCAGAGCCTCAGCGTCCAGACTGCAAATGAAGCGAGCATGCGCCGGGATTGACGGCGCAAATTGATCACAATAATTAAAATAGCCTGCGCTTTGTAAAGTGAAAAAAGTTGTAACATGCAACTTTTGTAAAAACAAATGAACATGGCACGGAAGCACCACTGTTATGACGCAGCACCTGAGAAGAAAACATGTTGGAGCCTTCATTGGCAATGAAGAGAGCTGATCAGCAGGATGAGTAACCATGTTTGTTTGGTTTTAAAGTGGGGAAACGTAACGTTAGTTTCTCAGGTAGCTCATCTGATGATTTCCTTACCTTGTTAATAGGTTACAGAGAGTGATAAGGTTGCCTACTTATTTTACTTTTAATTTAATTTGAATTAGCTTAAGCAGCGTTTATATTTACTTTTTTTTATATTTACTTTATTTGCAAATTATGAGGGCAAGGCTTTTAAAGTTTAAATCTTCTGGCAAAGATAAAGTAAAGATCCTGCAATTTATGGAAGTAAAGCAGAATAAAATCCAGCAAGATCAGTAATATGTCAATTATATGCCACATTCCCATGTAAATATCTGTCTTTGGAGGATGTGTTTTTTAGCACCCCTAGTTCTCTCATGTTTATTCCAAATACAATTTATAATTTGAATCACAGGGCTATTTTTATCTCTATGGTTCAGTATTTTCTCAAGTAGCAACTTTAACTGCTATACTTTCCTGTCTTAAAAGGCAGAACTCTTCTAGTCTAAAAAAACCTCATTTGTTGAAATGGGGGGACCTATTGTTTGAACCCCTTAGGGGCTTTTAAAAACAAAAATGTATTTTTTTACACTTTATGAAACAAAGTACCCTATATTTTGTGGATGTACAGCTACATTTCTCATGTAAGTTTGCGTAGTTCTAACACAAACATTTATTTTTCATATTGCACCAGTACAGTTAATGAGCAACCTGTACTTGTGTGCTTGTTTGTTATGTCTAAAATGTTTATTTTGGAATATAAAAAATATTTTTTATTCATTGATTAATCGAAAAAATAATCGGCCGATTCATTGATTTTTAAAATAATCGTTAGTTGCAGCCCTAAATTTAACCCATTATGATTATTGCTCATGAAATAATAAGTACAAACCATTCCATTAAAGTGAACGCCGTTTTTTTATTTTTTATATTGAGCTCTTGATTTTACGTTATTACATCATGTTCTACTCACCCATATGAGTTTTTTGTCATTTGGAGCTGTTCTGGAGATATTCCGTTAGGTTATATCCAGGTAACGTCTTCCTATGGGCAACGACTTGAAGGCACAAACTGATCTGCTCATAATTTACGCCAGCATTCATATCATGTAGGCCAATCACTGTCCCCCAAACATCCGCGGTTATATTTTTTTATGTTTATATCTTTTAAAAATGAAGCGCAGCGTCTATGACGTCATCCGCGCGCCAGCTAGCATTTCTTCATCCTGTCCGCTAGTTTTACTCACATGCCTGGAAGATGTCTAGTGCTGCTACCACAGATGATCTCGCTCTCCAAAAGGAATTGAACGATTCAGATTAGCTCACCGAACGAATAGAAGGGGTAGAGCGTAGCCGGCTGTGGCCCCGGCTTCCTGTTACTGTACGACTCCAGTCCGCCATCCGCGATGACGTCATACACACGCCGCTTTGTTTTTAAAACATATAAATATAAAAAATATAACCACAGATGTCTGGGAGACAGTGATTCACCTACATGTTATGAATGCTGACGTACCATAAAGAATAAATTATGAACAGATCAGTTTGTGCCTTCAAGTCGTTGCCCATAGTAAGACGTTACTTGAATATAACCTAATGGAATATCTTCAGAACAGCTCAAAATGACGCAAAATTCATATGGGTGAGTAGAACATGATGTAACAACGTAAAATCAAGGGCCCAATGTAAAAAAAAAAAAGGCGTTCCCTTTTAAAATGAATAAAGAATGACCTGAATCTAAACTTTCACTGAACCGCACAGTGAGAAGAAGAGGGAAAGAACCGTCACTTCATGCTAGAAAGTGCAGGCTCTGCATATATGATATGGACATGACAGAGATGGCTCTGCTAAGCCTACTTCTATAATAAGAACATTTTGCATTTTTTCCTTGCTGTTGTCAAGAAGTCTTTAAACTAATAAAGGATATTTTGGCGCATTTGGTGCAGAGTATCTGACTGAAAAAAGGCAACATTATGGTTAATTCTGTTGTACATACAGTAGTTTTTCTCTGCTTTCACCTCACAATATGGATATGGATAGTTTTGGTAAAAATCCATCAGTATATTTTACTACTCTATCTCCCAGAGCACAGTTACGTATCCATTTGTTCATCCCTCTTTCCATACAAATAGGAAAGATGAATAAAACATCTTAATTAGAAATGTCTGTTGATGTCTGAACTGTCTTTGTATGGCGGTAGGATTTTGTAAAACAGTAAACCAAAATTTAGCTGACTTTCTTCATGTTCCTTTACACTAAAATGAGTTTGTCTATTTGTACCAAAAAAGCTTTTGAAGCTTCTTTGAGAGCTAAATTGACATTAAAAAGCAATAAAAAATTACTTCTGTGTACGTGCTTGTTTGGAAGTTTGGAGGACTCGTTCTGACACCCCTGTGAATTAGGGGCTTTGTTGTTCCATATCTGGTCATCAAAGACCTATACATACATCATGCACTCAGGAACGCCAGCGCTCATATGGCAGAGTTAGTCTCAGAACCGTCTATTTTAATCAACTCAGTGGGGCTGACAGATTGTTTGGCAAGTATTTCTCAAAAATATTACCGTTCTACCCATGTGGCTGTATGGGATTGCCCACATGTTTCTTTCATTTCTACAGAGAAATGACTCAAAAATAAATAAAATGGTTTGATTTACTGTAGTGGCCATGAGAATTATTCCATACATGACTAATTTTTTCTGGGATGTGTCCCATCTGAAAACTAACAACAGAGTTCACATGCTGAAGCTGAGCATCTGTGGGTTTATTTAGGTGCATAACAAACATCCTGGTTTATAGCCACCACTCTCCTTTCAATCCACAACAATAGCGTAAAATATTATACGATTTCTCGATTTGTGAGACACATCTTTTAGAATATGTCGTACTGAGATTGTAAAAATCACTGCCTGTAGAAACCGCATCCATGCATGGTTTCCGGTGGTGTTTATACTTTAGTTACTGGCTGTAATGTTAGATACACTCTGTCCATCACCCTGCGTTCTCTAAGCTAACAAAATAAAAGCTTTTTGAAGAATTTGCTTTCATAATATGCAAACTAAAGTATAAAGAGGTGAGTAAGGAATTCGCTTTAAATTAGCTCTGTTGGTGAGTAAACTGCCTATTGTAGCTAAGGTATTTCATATACTTGAAGCCTACAATTCACTTGAAGCCAATTACTCAGAGACCAATCACTAGAATAAGGATTTAAGGAGGTTTAAAAAGTTTAAAAAGAACTGCCATAATGCTTAGGCACTTTGAAGCTCTTCTAATAAAGCATTAGGGAAAGTCTGGAGGAGGTATGGATCAGAGAGTAGAGCATCGCTACCCTTATTCCACTTATATTCCATGTGAACACCCCTGCTAACAATCTAATAAACCTCCAGTCCATTTTCTAGACTGCTACAGCTTCAACTGATATAAATGCTACATGCTACATTTCCATGCACATTCTTTTCACATGGTCTGCTGCTAATTTTTCTATCTTTTCCTTTAAAAAGGGTGTTTTACATTTGATTGCACATGTTTTTAATCTCAGGCCATTTTTATATTTTTATGTTTTATAGTTTTTAAGGTCTCCAATAAGGATGCATATTTTTTCACTCCAAGACGGTGTCTAAACTTAATTGATTATGGCGACCTGCTGCTGTGCACTGGTGGTCAGCTAAAAGAAAATTACTGCAGCTTTCTTTGATTTTAAAAAACTAGTGTTTGCAAGATGTAGGCAGTATGTTAAGCCATTGGAGCAGATAACTCAACTAAATAATGACTGTTAGTTAATACTTATTGTTAAACTCACTGTTTTTCTCTATAAAGAGAGGAAACGTTTTATAATAGATTTATTCATTACTGATCTATTTTTTTGTTTTTATTTTAAAATTATATAAAAAAGCTGTTTTTAAAACTGACATTGTTTTAGCAGCTGTAAAAATAACTGTTGGTTTATGCGTTAAATGAAGAACTATTAGAGGATCATAAACAATTTTGTATTTTGTTCTTGCCCAGTAATGTAAAATTGGGAGTTTAGCATTTTTTCTACAGACACTAAACGGTTCGTCAAAAGACTTAAAACAGGATTTCATTTACTTTTAAATCCAGAGAGCCACTTGGAAAGCGTCACATTATCAAGCTGTTCCCATATGTTTGTTGATGTGCTTTTTGAGTTTCCTCCCACACAATAAATCACAAACACTTGTGTGAAATATCTGCGGTTAACAGCAGCCTTTCATGTGTTTTAAATTCAACTTGGCATGTCCAATTTAACAAATATGTTTGTGTTATTTGTTTTTTCCCAAAAGCAGATCTAATTTTGGCCCGCTTTAAATTTTGGTGTCTCCCTGGAGGAGGAGCCGACCTCACACTGGAAAATCCTGCTTTAAGCCAAGGTCTGTTTATTGCTTTTATGGGATAACAAGCCGCTTAAATTCTGTACATTTAATTTCACAAAATAAAATAAGTACACCCTCGTGATAAGTGATTTAAACAACCCGGGTTTGCTGTCTGTGTCTGTATTCTATCACTATTGTTAATAATAAGTAATAATAATTCTGATGCTTTTACTTGTTGAATTATATAGTTGATGGTAAATAAGGCTATTAAACCCCAAAATCTGGAATAAAATCCAGATGGAAAGGAAAGATCGTTTTTTTTTTTAAGGAACCAGCTCTTTGGGTAAATGGTGCTGAGGTAGTAACCTTGTGTCACCAAAAAAAGTGTTTTTAATACTTCCCTGATTTATTTGTTTATTTCTTCAAATCAGACGGAGAGCTTGGAGTAAAGATGATGCATGTTTCAGGACCGCATAGAAAATGAATGCATGTGCCACAAACTTGCACTTTTGTGGTGAATTTGAGTGGTGAAAAATTGTGACCTGGGATTAGACATGGTTTGAAATGTGTTTTTTTTAAGTGCTGCATGCATATGTTGTTGAATCTGATAGTCGGTAGCCAAAATCTGTGCAAGCAGTTTCCTTTATCTGTTTAAACCCTCATCCTTAAATATCACTCCACCTGCTCTGTGAAGGCCTTAAAGCTGAACTAAACAACACAAATGACACAGTGTCACACACTTAAGCTATAAAAGGATACACAACACTTCAGTCACTTACTGATTATTGTTCAGCATTTCTTCTGTAAATGGACAATAGTTAAGAATCAGCTAAAATTACAGCTAGGAGAACTTTAAGTAAAGAAGCTACCTAGAGATCCGTGCTACCTAAAGATAATGCAGACATCCACAGCTCAGATGTGTTAGGAATCCAGTTTGTGTGGGTTCTGTTTTTGTGTGTTTTCCCTCCACCACCAGGTGGCGCCTGGTTCTCGTTGGCCCTCTCACACACCTGCAGATGGTTGCCTCATTACCTGAGGACTCTTAAGCTGCTGATTGCCACTACCTCGACGCCAGAGTGTTTGCCAGTTTTGGGTACTCTAGCCAAGCTGAGTTTTGCTGAGTCAAACTGAGATTTGTGTCAACGTGAGTCTTAACCTTGTTATTGTTTTGTCTTGCCTCTCGGCAGGAAGTCATCCTGCAAACTGGATGTTTTGGACCTTCTCCCCCTGGAAGGAGCATCTGAGCTTCAAACTGAGCTGGGGATTCAAAGTGGAGGTTTGGATCTACCTTTCCCCAAAGGATTGTTTGAGCTTCACACTGAGCAAGGGATTCATCTCCACAAGGAACCGTTCAAGTACCATAGGAATTCTGAGTGGCAGTCAGCTTCTTCAGTCCTCAACGAAACACCTCAACCTGGGTAAACCCTGTCCACCCTCCAACGAGCAAGTCAATTACTGGAACTACCCACACCGACTGGATTCAAAGAAAGACATATTTTCTGGAAACTTGAGTCCGGTTGCCTTTATTCCCTTTTGCAAATCGAAGCTCAATTTTCCCACTGAGCCTGAACTAGCCACAAGGAACTTCTCCTTCACTTTTCAGTCCCGGTTCGCCAGTGTTCAGAGCAGCACTGGACCCATCTCTACCAGTTCTCAATAACCCTGTTAAACCTTCCCCTGGTCTCTCTGTTTGGTTGTCTGCATGTGGGTCAGATCTTTGAATAAAATCATGACAAGATGGACTGTTTCTGGCTGTCCACACCTCTAAGCCATTGTTAACACAAAGTTATGTGAAGCTCTGCCTGATGATAAGGAAAATTCTTAAGTGAACTCATCATGCCGTGGGGATGCTTTTCTTTAAGGGGGAACAGGAAGTTGTTTAAAGTTGAACGAAAGATGCATATAGCTAAATAATCCTGGGAAAAAAACTGTTAGAGGTTGCAGAAGAGACTGGGGCAGAAGACCCCCTTGCTGCAGGATGACCCCTAACATCCAGCCGGAACTACAATGGGATGGTTTCCTTCAAACTATAATCATGTGTTTTAGCTTCAAAATGAATGCTAAAATATGCCTTTTATCCAACATGAATGCATTTAAGCTTTTTTTTGGCAAACAATTGCTGTTAGTTTTAAGACATACAGAGAAATAATGCAAATGACTTGCAGCTGTAAATACAGAGAAGTGGTTCTATAAAGTATTGAATCCAGAAGGCATACATTTATTACTGTTTTCAGATTTTTGTTTGTAAAAAGTTTTTTGTTTATTTATTCATTGTACTTCGCAGTAGTTTACATATAGAATACTTTTAAAAGAAAGTGCATATGTTCGGTATATTTGCTTTTCAAACATTAGGCAATCTAAGATGTATTTTTACAATTAGATCTTCTTATTATTCAAAATAAAAAAAGTATCATAGACTGGTTCTTTTCTTACCCATGCTCAGTTGGAGAGATAATCCCCCCGCTTTTGTTCTTTCCCCGCATTAAAATATTTTTCACTTTCATCTCCGTGATGGAGGGCAGCAGGAGGGGGACGGCTATGCAGAACAGACCCAGCTGAGCAGGCATCAGTGTCCCGGAGGGTGATTTCTTCTTCTGCCCATGGAGGAACTTTAACCGACCCTGAAACTGCATGGTCTGAAATTGGAGCAGAAAAAAAATATATTTATTTAATCTAAACAGAAATTAGTACACCTATGTGCCTTTTTAGCATTTTCAAATGTATCCCAGAGTTAGCTTTTACCTAATCAATTGTATACCAATTTGTGTGATCTAGATTCACTGTATTACACCTAAAGTATAGCAAGGTACTGGTATTTTTATGCTCTTGTATATTTGTGGATGAGAACTGTTTAGGACGTTAAGAGTGCAGTTATCAGCCACAGTAGCATCCTTCAAAATAAGAGAGGTTTATTAACTTAACTAGACTCCAATAAAGCAGAAAAAGGGTTCTGCAACCTGACTATTGACTTTACTTCATCACTTTGGCTAAAAACATAGTAAGAGCCATCTAATCTTTTAAAAGAATAAATGTACTTTCTATGCTGCTTGGGATTCTCTCCACTGACTAATTGCATTGAATTTCCAAAATAAATCGACTCTGAAAATAACAGAAATATATTCTTTTTGCAAGTATATCTATAACCTATAATTTGAAATGGTGCACTGAATATTTAAAAAGAGGAAAAATCTTTTTTTTCTCTCTTAAAAAATGTCACATAATGTTTGAATATAAAAATGGCCCTTTGGAGCTAGACTCTCGCTTTCAGAGCAATAAGAGTTACAGAGGCTCAAACTGTACTTACAGCTCTCTATGGCTGGTCTTTAAAAGGTTTTAATTTCAGCCAAATGCAGCTAATATGCCTTGAAAATGCTAATTTGATTAGTATGTAGGCTCACTCGTGATGAGACCTAATCCACGATTATTTTTTTTCACTACACAAATGTCCAGAGATTTTACAGTGTTAATTATAAAGGGAAATCCTGAAGCATTTTACCATCAGATTGAGAAATGGGCATATTATCGAAAATGTTTGTCATTAATGTTCACCAGAAACTTAACAATGACGGAAGATTGTTGTAAATTAAAAAGCTGTGCAGGCAGTAACTGATGAGAATCTGTACCTGTCTTCCTTTATTAATTTGTTTCCATTTGGTGCATTTAGAGTTTGACTCACCAAAAATCCTGAGGTGCTGTCCAAGAGACATCGAACTCTGGCCATGAAACATCTGTTAAGAAAGCAGGAGAGCTCTGGAGAAATTTCCCCTGCCTCTGGAGAGTTAAACATGCTGCTCACAACAAAGTCTTCACCTGTAATAAAAGAGTGAATAATTATGAATATGATAGAAAAAAATTGTAAATAGAAAAACCACCTTGTGAGCTGTACACACTTGATCCTGAAGCTAATTGGTTATCCTGCTGCCCAGAGGTGCCCTGTGGGGGGCACATGGCCCAGTGGAGCTGGCGTCTGAACTCCTGACGGTCGTCTATGTGGATGTAGTCAAAGACGTTTTGGTGCATCACGTCAGTCTGTAGGGGCAAACTTTGGTTAGATGGAGGGAAGGATGAGAGGTTTTCACTGAAACATTGGGATCCTCAAGAAACCAGTGATTTTAAAGAAAAGGATCAATTCTTGTATCAGCAATCAATAGACTAGAACCACTAGATCTCCCTTCAGTCTACCTTTCATCACATTTATTTTAGTTTTGCTTAAAGGGTTATCCTTGAAGACGACAGACTACGCTGCTACTCTGCCTCCCTTAGCAAGACCTTTAGTCCCATGATTGCTTCCCCGGCGCTGCAAGCCGCCCACTACTCCCTAAGGGATGGGTTTAACGCAAAAGACAAATATTGTTGTATATTTGCATTGACCAATAAAGTTGATTATCCTTATTATTTATACAAGTTCTATTTATACAGTGCTATAGATGCAAGAAAACCTCTTTACATTCAGCATTACATTATATATATCGGATTACCAAAGCAAGATATGCTTCTCAGACAGAGATGGGAAGTAACGAAGTACAAATACTTCGTTACTGTACTCAAGTAGATTTTTCTGATATTTTTACTTTACTTTACTACTTATTTTTATGGCGACTTTTTACTTCTACTCCTTACATTTTTACACAAATATCTGTACTTTCTACTCCTTACATTATAAAAAATTGGCTCGTTACTTTAGTTTTGAATCATTTCAATGGAGTTACCGTTATCATTTTTCACGTCATCAATACTGTGAAAACGGAGCAGTTTCCCCCTCTGTTCCCAAAGTGTAGCCCCCGTCTATCACACACAGCATCACATCCTTCACTACATTTCCCAGCATGCACCACAGACCGGCCGTCATGGCGGCGGCAGTTCCAAACAATTCACCCGGTAATTTACACTAGTTCCGAAATTACAACGTCGCCTTTCATTCAACACTTAACTTACTCACCAGCGTAGCAAACTCTGAAGGTACCCACTGCGACAGCTTTAATATACATTCCGTAGTCTGCAATAAAACTTCCCAGTCAAATTACACATTCTCTTCCCTTAGTCCGTCACCATACTGGTCCGTGTGGAAACACGTACCGCATCGGAGCCAGTGTCTTATCCATTGTCCCATGGCATTGGAAAAGAGGGGGCAGGGGTGTTAATTTCACCTACTTGCATGGTAACAAGTAGGTGAAATGGTAATTTTAGTATGGTTAAATTATTTCATAAATATGTATGTTTTTGTATGAATGATGCTATTGCCTGTATTTATTTTTCTACAATGTTAACTGTGATTTATTGGGGATTTGCCTTCCTGTTTAGTTAGGCTGTCTCAATTAGCTGGTTATTGGTGGGTCTATTTAAGGGGCACACTCACAATGGCTTGGGAGGGCTGCTTGGAGAGACTGGTTGGAGAAACTGCTTTTGAAGGTCTGCTTAGAGAGACTATATTTAAAGTCAGCTTGCTGTGAGGCTGTCAGAGTTTTGTATTGCCTGCAATGGCCGGTTTTGTTTTCTTTATTTGAAAGTATTTTGTTTTTTTTGTTGTTTTTTTTGTCTTTTTAACTGGAATTTTGTTGTCCGCTGGTTCTTACCACCTTTTTGCAAGTCATCTGCTTACACCTCCTCTGACGTGAGAAGGGAGGTGGCGAGCCGTTTTCTCACAAATACCAAATTCAATCTAATTGAATGGGAATCTACATTGCATTTGACGCACCACTACAAGATGAATCGACAGATTCGGCGGTATTCATTCACGGCAAATCATTGCAGCTTGGTGGCGGTGGCGTTAGCATAGTAGTATGGACGACGAGATGATTGAAAATGAACACAACGGAGATCTAGTCCTATTGGCAGACATCCATTTAAAATGTAGGCAACGGCATGAAAAAAGTGGTTTCTACTTTTACTTTTATACTTTAAGTAAATTTACAAGCCTGTACTTTGTTACTTTTACTTAAGTAAAGAAGTTTAATCAGTACTTCCACTTTTACCAGAGTATTTTTTAACACAAGTATCTGTACTTTTACTCAAGTACGGAAAGTGAGTACTTTTGCCATCTCTGTTCTCAGATTAGATGAACATTGTCTGATCTGGTGGATTTGTTTTATGTATACTGTCAGATTGTGTGGCAGCTGCTATTGTTCACTGTGAATCATACTGAAAGGTTAAATCCATTCCGACCTTTCATTTAATTGAGAGACATATAGGACATGTGTTGATCCAAAAAAGAAAAAGATAACAAACAGTGTTAGGATTCGAGTTTGTGCGGGTTGTTTTTTGTGTTTTCCTCTCTCCACCACCAGGCGGTGCCCTGCCCTCGTTGGGCCTCTCTGCACACCTGCGGCTCGTTGGGTCATTACAGGAGGAGTACTTGAGCAGCGGGCTGTCACTACCTCAACGCCAGAGTATTTGCCAGTACTGGGTACTCTAGCCAAACTGAGATTAGCTGAGTCTAACCCTAACCTTGTCTCTCTGAGTCTTTTGTTCTCCGGCAGGAAGCCTTCCTGATTCACTTGACAAGCCTGGATCTTCTACTCCCCTGGAAGGAAAAACTGAGTCACACTGAGAAAGGGGAAACCGCCACATGATCCGTTCAAGTCCTTCAGGAAAACCCGGTGACAGTCCGCTCCAATACTCCTCTGGATCCAACGTTAGTCTGACTGTCCTCTGAGTTCTTTCATCTCTGGTTAAAACCCCACAAACTATATCCAAAGAATAACCAAGAGCACCATAAATGTGAGTGCCTCCTGAACTGATCATTGTGATCTCCTCTTCAGATTTTCCGGTTCCGGTTCACCAGTCCGCTGTGGTCCAACAGTGTTACCCAGCTGTATATCTGTCAGTCTGTGTTTTTGCTATCCATAATAAACCTGTTAACTTTTAACCTTGGCTCCTGAGCGTGTCTCTGCATGTGGGTCAGATCCTTAAAACCCATCATGACACTTAGACCTTCAGAGCTCTTACTGAGGCAATGTCTGAACAGGTCAAAGTATAAGGACAGGTGGTCATAATGTTATGCTGGATCAATGTACATCCCTTCAAACTCACACACAAAAGCAGGAGGAATTACTCAGCGCAGTAACACCCGAAGAGCAGCTGCATGGGCAGTGCGGGCAGCTGTGTTTGTCAAACATTGCGTGACACCGGCTCCCGAGCAGCAGCCCGGCTCAGCCACCCCCCCCACCTCGTCCACATAGACTCTCACACAGACTGAATCAGGTTCCATCCCACCTCCAGCAGGCTTTTCCTCTCTCTTTTCCAGCAATAACTTTTGCTTTCTGTCATTCCCTAACAGATTCCTCCCTGTAACGTTCAGCCTTCTCCTCTTCCCTCGACCCCCGCCCTGGCTCCAGAATTTCCACGGCGGTGGCACGCGAGGGTTTTTGATCGCCTGCCTCTGAAAACACAATCTGTTCCCACCGTCTTCGCAAAACACTTGGTGCTGAAGACTGCGGTTCCCTACTGGCGTTCGGGCACACAAACGGATCGAGTGACTATTGTTTTTGTGCCTCGTAAAGAAATATGCAGAGGGGGGAACGAAAGAAAAAACAAAACTGGAGAGTAAGTGATGGTTTAGCTGACCTTCAAAGGCTAACTGCTCCAGCGAGAAATGGGATCAAAGAGCTGTAAATGTTTTCTGCTCCTTTCTGGGGCTTTTGTTGTGGTGCCACTTAGTTTTTTGTTTTTTTTCCTGTGGTATATTAATAAGTGTCCTCTCACTATAGCTGAGGGCTCAGGCTGGTGCAAAGTGTTTGTTTGGGGCCTTGTCAAGGCAAATCATGTGTGCGTGTGTTTGGGGTGGCTCTTATTTGCAAGCAATTAATGTGGGAAGTAGAACCTTTTGATCACCAAAATTACCCATGAATGTGGTTTGCATGCTGTGATGCTATGGCTCACGGACATGCCCTGTCGTGTCAATACCTTGTCTCTTTCTGTTGACACATTTTGCATTTTTATAATTGTGTGGAGTAACGACGGTAGGTTAGTATCTGTCACACTATCAAGATCGCACTCTGGAATAACAACAAAAACCCACTTGTACATGATGCGGTTTGACTATTTAATTAGTATTCTAATGTTTATTTCTTTGCATGGCCGCATGTGTCCTTTAGCCATTAGTCAGTATGAGGTTTTCATAGCTTAAAGATGATTTTAACCAAAAACCTACAACATGACCTAATAGTTTATATCTAAAACACAAGCTTCAGCCATTCCTCTGGCTGTTGCCATAATAAAGCATATAGAAACATTTATAGTAATGTTAGCAATAGCATTTGTCATTATTTCGATTGCATCACATAGATTTAAATGTAATGCAGAATAAAGAGCAGCTTTGTTTGTTCTCCAGTGCTTTCAATATATATCATTATATATTATCATCTCTTCTTAACTAATGAAGTTATGGCTGAATCAGAATCAATCAGAAAAAATTAAGACACTTTTCTGGCATCTTATATAACCGAATACACAGTAAGACAGAAGGAAATGGCCAATGCTTGATTAACATAATTTATAACAGCATTAGCCCTTTATAGAGCACGCAATGAAATACTTAAAAAACAATTCAAAATTTCAAGTCGAGTGTTATTGGAGGATAGAAAAAGATGTCATTGCTTTTTTTAAATTTTAAATTTATGTATTTTCATCGCAAAGCATCACTTGCCAAGAAAAAGTCACTTGCCCTATTATGGTAAAAAAAATAAATTTAAAAAATCCAAAGACTGTGCTTAAAATAAATGAATGAAAAGCATTTACAGAAAGAAAAACACCTTTCTTTAAACATAATAAATACTCAGACCATTTATACTGATACAGGAACTTTTTTTACTTAAATTTAGCTTATTAACTTTTTTATTTATTAAGTTTTTTTAATTAACTTACTATTTTTGTTTAATATACAGCAGGTACCATATCTCGCACACTGGTGGTATTCTATAATGCAGTTTTACTCAGGTATAAAGTACAGGTGGACCTTGCAAACCCCGCAGATCACCTTTCCACTCACGAGTTTACCTTGTTTGCCTTATAGTGTTTTTTATATGCAAGTTAGTGGGTAATTTATATTCTAAAGGATAAATATATAAGAATTAAACTATGAGGAGCTGTGCATTACACGGTTTTAATGCACGACGCGGAGTATAGAACACCATGAGACGTAACAGAGGGAAATGCACAGCTTCAATTTGTTTAATCCGCATATAATAAACATTTTATGGCAAATGGCTATTTGACTAACTAAACGCAGTTATTACTTTTAATATTATTACTATTACTGTTATTACTATTTTTGCTGGGCTTGATATATATATATATACTGTATATATATATACTGTATATATATATATTTATTTTATTTTTTTATGTTAACCAACAATTTTCATGTGTTTGTTCATGTTGGCCAACAAATGGATATTACTATTCAGTAATATTCACATTTAATTATGGAGGCAAATCTATTTATTATTGTTGTAATATCACTATCGTTACGCCTGTAGCTGAGTGTTATGATAGTGATTTAACCTGCAGAGGTGTGCTGACACACTAAATAAGGCATCCCACTTAAGATTAGAATCCTCACTGACCATGATATATAACAGCTGTTTTAAAAAATCAGTATTAAATAGAATAGAATAGAAAATCCCTTTACTGTCCCACGATGGGAGCGTTTGCAGCAGCAAAAACATTACAAAAAGAAATGGTCACACAAATGTTGACCTAAGAAAAATGTATAAGCATACCATAATAGTCAAGAATTATAAGATAAACTATAAAATACTTTCATTTGAAGTGTTTTAACAATAAAGACTGTGCACCTGGAGGATAAAATAACCAATATGCAGCTATGGACTTTTTTATAGCAATTGATATTTGAAAATAGTACCAACATTAGAAATGTGCACAATGACAGCAGCATGTAATTTCACTGACTAAGGTAGAAACTGTGCAAAATCAGCATGAATGTAACAACTTATTGAGGTTGTTGGGAACAATGATGGTTATAGAGTCTTCCAGCTGCTGGGAGGAAGGATCTGTGATAACGCTCTCTGGTGCATTTAGGTGCAGCAGTCTGTCACTGAAGCAGAAAATTCTAAATCCTTTTTGACCTATGTGGCGCAAATAGATTCAAATATCTGCTTCTTAACATTAATTCCCTCTAATGGTCTTTTTGAACTCCTGCAAAAATACACACACACGCATATACATATAGTAAGGCAGGGTGTTTCACACCACAGTGGTTTACATGTTGATTTAATGGCCCTAAACTACTGCCTGCAACTCTGAAACCAGCAGAGATCACTGTAACAGGATTTCTATCCCAGCATGAAAGCAAACTGTTAGAGTGTGTGTGAGAGAGTGTTTGACAAGGGATGAGGAAAAAAAAAAGATTACAACATTGAAAAGCACTTTATTCATGGTTTTAAAGTAAGATGGTGATGTGAGCATCCCGGGACAGGACAGCCTGTGTTGATATCATTTATAATGGATGCTGGGGTACAGCCACTGCAAAGGGAGAATGTTAAACTGTTGGTGGGTTAAGCCCAAGGAGACATCCAAACAGTGTATGCCAGGGTGAAAAAGAGGTCGTCAAACCTCTGAAGCACATCAGATGTAACTTCCTGACTTCAATCTGTGTACTAGTCACAATGATCCACCAACACGCAGGCGTAACGTCACAGTGTGAACAAATACATTCATTTCCACTTTATAAGGTACAGCTCTTCTACTGCTTCTTGAGGCAAGTCTCTAATCGAACATTTACATGGTTGATGGTACCACAATGCCGAGTTTTTTGGAAAATGCAGATCTGCTGGGATTGCAGGAACAGCTGTGGCCTCAACAGTCACCAGATCTAAGTATAAAAGGCAGCTGGGGGGACGTAGCGGAACAGGAGATTTGCATCACGGATGTGCAGCCTAAAAAATCTGCAGCAACTATGGCATGCACTCCTGCCAGTATGGATCAGAATTTCTGGGAAACTTTCCAAAACCTTGTTAGGGTTATTCCACGGAGAATTAAGGGGTGAATGGGATCCAACAGGCTAACAGTGAGATGGAACATGTACCAGTTCTTACCTAATCTACATTCTGGTAGCTTTTCATGCAGGTAGCATGCCCAATTTGCTAACTTTAAGCTAATTTTTACCCAATTTCTCTCATGAGCTCAAATAAAAGGAAAATAAATTCACAAAAATATGAATACAATTTAGTATGTCAAATCTAAACAAACACATTTAAAGAAAATTCTGTATGATTTATTTTGGGGTAAACAGCTACAAGAGGTTTTTATTCACACGCTGGGAAACCTTGGACTATTTTTTGCAAAAAAATATTTTCTCCAAGCATAATATCTGTGTTGATAATTTTGACGGTGTTTCGCTGCTGTGCGGTTCCTCCAATTGGTCTAATCAAAAACGATAAGTCAGTTCTTTTCACAGTTAAAACAGATTGTTAGAAAACCTATTAATAACGTATTATTTTGTTATTCCTAATAGGGTGGGATGTACTGATGATAAAAAAACGTAACATCAGGACGGCATTGTTTTTTTTAATCTATTCTGTGTTTTTACAAAAGAAACTGACCTTTATCTTTTTTGTTGTATTGTTGTTTTCCATATTTCCCTAAAACACACCGTTGCACGTCAGTTATAGTTACCTGCATTATTAAAACTGAACAATTGAAGCACCTTAAACCTTTTTAGATTCAATATTATGACAGCTCACCTGATGGAATCCAAGATAGTCCACGATGGTGGAGGAAGCATAAAAAACCATCCCATCACTGCTCACCACCAAAGCAAAGCCTGTTAAAGACTATACACACACAAAGAGAAAGAAAGGTGGATAAACTTCATACCATAAATAAACAAAAGAAAAACACAAATCATCTCTCAGCTATTTGTATTCAGCGTTTTTGTTATCTATATTTACTTTTAGTTCACTTCCAAAATGAAAATAACAGGTTAATGATTGAATATGTAGCCTAAAGGTGTAAAACTACTTATTTAAAGCTGAACATCAAATGTAGATTCAATCCCTTATAACATTAATTAAGTTCTTTTTCCAAATACAGTATAAAAGAGTACAAATCTTGTGCTTCCAAAAGAAACAAAATGTGATAAAACAAAAAACAAACAGGTTGTCGTACAGGAGATAGGATTGGCAAACCTATCCATAATAAATTATGAGCAAATATTTTTTTATAACAAAAAATTAATTTGATATCATAATCATACATGCTAAAACGACTACCGGTATTCATTCTATAATCTAAAGGTTGACACACCGATTAACCTCCAATTTGAGTCCACAGAAACACACATAAAGAATTATTAACTTTTTCATTTTCTTGATATGTTTATTTTTTGCTGCTCATTTATTTGTATCTAAATAAATTAGAGTTTTGGCCCTTTTGGACCTCCATACTAAATAAGTCAATGTTATTTGTTAAGCTTGTTGTTGCTTTAGAAAAAAAAACAAAAGAAATCAGAAAAATGTTTAGTGACACTTAGATGTATTTATAAAACAAGTAATGTGATTAAAATACAAACTGAGTATTATACTGTAAAACATGCAGAATTTAATTGTGCATCCCTCTTTGTTTCACTAGATCAAAAAGGAACGCTGCATATGAAAAAAAAAGGTAGCTTCGGTCAGATAGGCAGAGACGGGCAAATGAAGAGGCGAGCAAAGGTATGAAAACCTAAACAGAAGAGGAAGAAAAAAGTAACAGGAAGGACATGTGGAAGAGGTCCACTGTTTGTGCGTGCACATGTCTGGGATAGCGTGACAGCACCAGGGCTAGCTGACTTGCGTGACTGCTGCTGCCAGACTCTGTCACCTCTGTTTTACAGCGAGAATATGCAGGATTTTTCCGATCTGTGAGTGTGTGTGTGTGACGGGGGGTTACATGATGTTCATCCCCATGGTAACTTAACTCACACTCCCACCCACCACCCCCCCTTTCACAAACACCTAACAGTGATCTGATAACCATCCATGGGAGATATTATTAGGCAGCCACTGCACACGCTCCATCATCCAACCCACCCTATGAACTCAGTGAACTGATAAGTCTCTTTTAATGTAGAAGCACGCAGATGTACTCGAGACAAACTGTAAAATCACAACCTAGAAAAATATCTCAACTATGATATAATATCTTTGTTTTTCTTCTTTTTAAATCATCTATATAAGCAGGATGAGCATGATGAGAGAAGCGGGGGAGGAGGATGGGAGATAGGTGCTCAGTCGCCTTGATGCAGATGATGTTTGACAAGTTCAACTGCTGGCACATGTCCTCCCGCTGACCCAAACACACACATGAACTCACAGGCATCGACTGATTTCTCTGCCAGCAACTCTTAACAGATAAATGTGAACAATTTAGGGAATAAATTTATAGTAATGCAGCTCATTTTATTCATTTTGTTAAAGATTCCTAAGCAAGGATTTCGAGTTGTAATATGGTCCAGAAAGAGAATGCTTATGCCTAAGGTAAAACATCTAAATGAAAACAGCATTTTTTTTTATTATTCAATATGCAACAGAAATCCAAACATATCTGGCATTAGTTTCAAAAATGAAGAATAACCTGTAAAAGGATCAGAGCCACATATTATTTGTCTATCCTCATCTCTGTGTTTGTTTTGTGTCCTCAAACAATAGAAATGAAAATATACTAAATATAGAGGAATGTCATGTTGTTTTCATTAAGTCCTACAAGTCCAAGAAGAGGTCAGCTTTTTATGTCGGTTGCACGCAAGTTTATTTAGTCAGTGCCGCACTTTGTTTTTTGTTTTTCCCACGCTTTCTCCAAGTGACTAAAACACTGCAATAAATGCTACAATAAAACCTTGAAGGACTTTGGCAATTTTCTTCTCCTGGAACAAAAAAAAAAGACCTCAGATCTTAAACCGAGAAGAAAATATTCAGGCAAAGTAAGCAGAAGCTGTTTTTTTTACTGATTGCTTTAATTAGTGTTTCAAAAGGATACCAACGGCTAATTATTACAGATGAGTACTGTGCTTTTTTTTTTTTTGCAAATGTTCAAACACATTATAGAGATGTTCATTAGCTATGGAGGAATATGGAAGCACATTTGAAACAGCAAAAAAAAAAAAACTAAATTTTTTCCATGTATTTATCTCAAACCTTTGTAGAGCCGCCCCAACTTTAAACACCCAGAAAATAATACAGAAATGCAAGAAAAAAAACTAAATGGAAGCTCTATGCAGGTTGCTGTTTTCATGCTTTTCTCATCATTTCCCTGCATACTAAAGCCTTTAGGTAATGGAAACACCTGCATCTGACCAGCAGCACAAAATCTCTGCAGCTACAAACAAACCCTTGGGAAGCTGAAAGCTTTAGCTTACATCTTAAGACGTTTTTGTGCAACAAGAGGCAGAAACTGAAACAGTTCCAGCTCAGTCAGACTGGATGAAGAGACTATGATGATCAGTCTTTAAATCCTGTCACAGATTTGGAACTGGATTTCTGTCTGAACCCTGATTGGGCCATTGTAACAGGTGAAAATGCTCTGATCTATGGCTGGGTGTACAGGTATGCTGTCCTGCTGGTGCATAAACCTCTTTCTGGATCTCAGCTCTATATCTGTCCTTAACAAGTTTCCTTTCTACTCCGGATTTAGCTCCATCTGGCTTCCCACCAACGTCGACCTTCACCATACAGATGCTGTGTTCACAGTAATGTGCAGTGCTATATTTCCCGCACATGTGGAGTATCAAACTGCAAATAGGGCTTTTTATGGCTTTTGTTCAACAATGACTCTCTTTTTCCCTCTCTTCTATAAAGTCCAGCTTTGTGCACTTGAAAAACGATCTAGAAATAAGTAAAAATGTCTTAAATTAAGTGTATTTACCCTTAATTTAAGTAGGTAAATGAGATAGATTGCCAATGGAATCAGTATTTTTACTCTTAAAATAAGATAATTAGATAATAGTCCCTTTAAATTAGACAATGCAATTGTGTTTTCTTATTTTAAGTGTAAATTATCTTGTTCCATTGGCAAAATGTCTCTTTTATCTCCTCAATTCAAGAACAAATGCACTTATTTTAATAAAAAAATGACTTTACAAGATTTAGATTTTTTGCTCTATCATCCTCTGTCAACTCCTGCAAATTTATCAGCCTCTTTGAGGTTGTTTACAATTTGACCACACTCTTTCCCTTGTTAACTGATAAACAAAGCTCTGAGAGGTGTCAGAGCATAAGATAATGTTGTAAATCCCGCTTTAAATATCTCCTCAACTTTCTCCCTGACTTGTTGGTCATATTCCTTGGCCTTCATAATGCTTCTAGCTTATTATTTTTCCCGAACAAACCTCTTAGGCCTTCACAGAAGAGCTGCCGTTTTTACGACATAACACAGATGGACACTGTTAACCAATCAGATGACATCTACAGGCACATAATTGCACCGGATTTTACCAAAAGTTTCTTGGTTTTTTTTATCTAATTGATGAATAAAGAACCCCTTTTTCTTGAGTCTTGATAAACTAGCCTAACGACAATGAGTCTGATGTCTCTGTTTGGGTTATATTGCATAAAAAACATAAAAAAAACGCTCACAGTCATTAACACCCGAAGTCACGCACAGTAGATGAAACATCACTACACTCAAACTGCTCCTTTGTTGACTGTTCAACTGAGGGACTTAACACATTAACAGCATCAGTGGATCGCCTCTGAATCCTGGAAAAGGACCAATGTCATAATTTGTAGCCTCCCTGGGAGCCAACGGGTCATGGAGAGTGTAATTATGATCTGCATGCGTAGTTCCCTTGCAGTGTGCTCTGGGTCTGTTTAAATAACCCATGCAGTGTGTTATCTGTCTGTCTGTCTGTATGTCCTCTCGGGTGTGGGTTTGCATTAAAGTTTGGATGTCCTGCTGCATCCAGATCTTATTAAGGGTCTTAGGTCAAGTGAGTAAAAAGTGTTTTAGCATTTGTTTTGACTTCTTCTCACTCTCTTCTGCCACTTTCACACTTGAGCTCATATATTTGGACAGAGATCGGCTCACGTTGACTCGCACGCATCTCAGCGGCTGCCCGTGAGAGTTCCCACAGCCCTCCGTCAGCTCCGACGCAGTCCTCTCGCCCGTATGTCACGCAACACCACAGATCCATGAGGGAGGTCGCGCTGGAGGGCAACTCGCTCAGACAAATCTTCTTACAGGCGCGTGTGCAAACTACAGGGCGGTTCACTGACGGTGCCATCCACAGGGGAAGGAAAGTGCAACGGCACGATGTGACAGAAGGTTTTATTTGTTGAAACGGACCAAACGGCGGTGTTTGTGTGCCGAAAAAACACTTTCTGTTTAAGTGATCAGAAGCAGACGTCACTCACACAGGACACACATACACGAACACGCAGGTCATCTGGTTTCTTACTTCCAGCAGGAGGCTGCTCTCATTGATGCTGGTGCCCAGAGGAAGGCTATCTTTCCTGGGTTCAGGGTTAGAGGATGCTGTGCTGGTGATGTGTTTCCTGGAGGGCTTGTCTTGACTCGCTGTGAAAAAAGAAAACAAGTAAAAGCATCAGCAAGTGTGAGTGGGGAATAACATCAATTAGCAGCTGAAAACACTGCCAAAGAGACTGATCAATGAGACCATTGATTTGTTTTGTTTTTCATTCAGTCAACACTGAACATGCAGGGATAGATTTTTCACGTCAGAGTAAAGACAACAATGTTACTCTTTACAAAGTCTCTCACGCGGGCGCTGTTATGTATGATGAAAAAGAGAGCCAGAGCATTTCTCAGACATAAGGCAGACTCATCAAACATATTGGTTTCCCTTTTGGATGGCATAAATGCCACTTTGCACATCCAGCAGGTATATTGGGCCAATCCAAAGGGACAACAAAAGCTTTGGGATTTTTATAACCTTACAAGGTTCTTTGAGCACATCCAACAGAAACAAGAAGTTTAATGCAAATCTAGACATGCAGCGATTTTATTAAATGCTTCACAATAAAAGTCAATATTAATCAGAACATAAGTGAATAATAATAGTAGAAACAACCCACTATAAAAATACGTTTAAAATTGAGCATTACCGGGAATGAGCTTCTGTAATGTGCAGTTATTGATAATAAAGAGGTGATATATATTTAAAAAAAGAGGTCAAAATAAACACATTTTTAAATTATTTCCTGTCCTCAGCTATTTTGTGATCCCAATATATTAAATAAGAATAAATATCTATAAAACCACAGACCGAACGCTTACATAACACACAACAAGCAGAAAGAAAAGTAAATTAACCCTATAATGCCAAACGTATCATATTTGATACATACGGTTTCTGAAATGTTTTGCGTCTGACACCTTTTGCATAATGTAATGGTAAAAACTTTGCTCAAAATCCTATTGTACACAATCAGATATACCTGATAACAGATGGCAGAAGACTACACAAAAAATAATCTTGACTTATCGCATAGTAATAAATTATTAATTTAAAAAATGTATTTCTGTTTTTTCTTTTTACATATTTTGTTAAAAGGCCAAATAAGGACTTCAAACCAAAAAAAAAAAAAGGAATTTTCTGTTTTGTTTTATTCTTGGATCGGGCTTTAAAGGGTTAAGAATTTTCAATTCAAGTTTTGTCGTTCAAGAATGACATAAATTTCTCTATAACAGTTGTTCACTGTTATCTGTTGATCATTTTGTTATTTACAGACCAATCTTAAGATGTCGACTAATTTCTACATTTGGGAATCCACGGCAGTAAAAGATGTCGCTCATCTGCCATGCGTTTGCAGATGAAACTCGCTACATAAACATTTTCATAGGTTTGCATTGCATGAAAAAATGTGGTCATGCAGCAGCTCAATGAAGAGGCGTTGAAGAGTTGGATGCCTCAAACATAAACCAGCCTTTAGAGTCACCAAGGTATAAGTCTAATTGAGAATCCCTGGGAAGACTTGGAAACTGATGTTTATAGGTTTGAGATATTTTAAATCAAAGAAGAGCAAAAAATGTCAGCTGTGCAAAGCTGGCAGAGACATACTCCTAAAGACTTACAGCTTTAAATACAGCAGATTGAGGTTCTGTTGACTCAGGGGGCTTAACACAAAACACATGCAATGCTTTGTAAAAAAATGTTTTCCTTCTCTTTTCATTTTTCTTCCCACTTCACAGTTATGCACTGCTTTGCATTGATTTATCACACACAATCCCACGCTTGTGGTTGTAATGTGATCAAATGTGATAAAGTCTAAGAGGTATGAATGATTTTGTAAGACACTGTACACCTGCTCTCAGTATTTCGGTTAACTGAACTGCCACATGTTCTGCCATGAAGCGTGTTTAGAGACGTATGTGTCTCTCTTGTGGATGTTAGGTCCAGGGCATGTGGCTTCCTCCAACAGAACAGCCCTTTGCTCCATCAGTCGCCGTACTGAGCAAAGACTAGTCACGCAACTCACCATTTATATCATGAAGACCGTTATATCTCATATTATCTGATATTTCCTCCCCCCTTCGGCCTCAATGTACGACCCCATTACAGCTTCGGTTCCTCACCTATGACCTTCTACTGCCTCCTGCGTCCATCCCTCCTCCTCCCACTCTGTTCTGTATAGGGGGAGGGAAACCAACCAATTACGGTGGTGGAGATGCTCTGAAGCACACAATTCATAGCATCCATACATTTCGTTTGTAAGTTTTTTCCCCCTTCCAGAAGTAAAAATGTCTTCCTTAGGATTAAACGGCTCATGAAAAGCTGTGACAGGCAGAAAAGGTTTTGTCATCACCTCCACTAAGTTAGAACACATACAAACAAACAGCCACAGACGGCCGTCTCACAGTAAAAACCTTCAGTCCAATCACCAGAATATCATCCAACCAGTGGAAACCATTACAGAGGGGAAATTAGTCTAATGACCGTCTTTATTTCCCTCCTTTCAACGGCTCATATATTTTTGTTTTCCCTCTTATGGCAGCTCTTGGAGAGGATGCTGCGTCAGGAAAGACAAACACTCGAGATGATTAATTATCGGCATCGGGACTTCCTCTGCCAACAATGCGGGCTTTATTCCTCGCCGCTAACGTCTTCGGCTTTGCTTTTCTTCGCCTCTACTTTCTCCGTCTCTGGTCCGAAAAGGAAAACAGAGCGGGTAATGGTGAGGCGTTTATGTGCGCTGTGTGAGTGTTAGGTAAAAAAATGACAAGTATAGGGACTTGAAAGCTGCCAAAGGGCGAGGCTTGAGGTGTTTAGTTGCTTCGGTCAGCCAGAACTGTCTTTCCACTGAGTATACAGAAAATGAAGACCACCCTTTAATTATTAAGGTATGCTATGACTTAATTTTGACACTAATACTAACAAAGGGCTGCTCAGAGAGAACTCTGAGTAAGGGACCACGAAGCAGCTTGGATGTTTAGTTACTTAACTGAAATCAATATCGAAAAAAAAATATCCTTTGATGTATTTCCCATCATAAAGTTATGTGAAACTTGTTTTACCTCCTTTGTTTTTGCTTTCATGTAACACTTGAGTGTCAAAGATCATCAAACTAAATTTGGTACCTAAGAAGTATAGTTGGTTTTGAGAATAAAGGCTGGAAACTCCAGAAATCCATCTTCTTGATCCTCTAATTAGGCATAATTGGAGCAATTCTGCAAAGAGGAGTGGACTAAAATTCCTCCACGGCGAACGACCAGAATTATGGTGCAAAAACTTCTCAAGGACATGTTGATTCCAGTAGGTTCTGGTTTAATAGAAATAATTACTGTAAGAAAATCCATCCATCCATTTTCCGTCAAGCTTATCACAAGCAGGGACGCAAGGGGTACAACCTAGACAGGTGATGTAAGAAAATCAATTATTGAAATATGGTTGATGTAATAAAACATAAATGAGAAAGAATGAAAAGAAAAAAGTATGAAAATACTTTTTCACAGCACTTTAAAGTCGCTGTGAATTTTTTGTCAGCTCCAGACCTGTCGCTACACCTTAAGAAACTCCTGCTCTCTGTCAGCTAACAGGCACCAGCACAGCCCTAATAAGATGTTTGCTTCTGAAACCTCCAGGGGAAGAGGTGAGTATTCACTCCAGAGCAAAACAGTTGCGTCAAGCACAGTGTGGTTGTGTTTGCCCGTTTTCAACATCCCCTCTTTTAAAGCCACTTCCCCCCTGCAAACCAAGAGTAGCTGAAAAAAACAACAATAGAGAGAAATGCAGCAGACAGAAAAAAGAGAAGACGATTAAATTGGTTTATTATGGGGATTAAAGAGACAATAGAGAAGGAAATAATTAAGGGAATTGCGAACGTTTACAATATGAGTTGCTATAACAAACCCGTTGTCAGGTAAGGAAGGTCCGTAAATATCTGTGCTAGTGAAAATATTCTGATATACTGTCATGTAATCGTGAGTAGGGTTGACGATGTACTGCATGTGGTCAAAAGTGGGTGTAGTCCATCCATCCATCCATCCATCCATCCATCCATCCATCCATCCATCCATCCATCCATCCATCCATCCATCCATCCATCCAAAAAAAGATAAAATATATAAAGAAATAGCAGAGATGTACCAATCAGGCTGATACCAGTATGTGGCTTTCTATTGGTTTTCTTGGTCTTTTCTTGGTTTTATATATTTAACCACACCCCCGTTAGATTTTAAAACTGATAAATTGCCGCAGGTTACTTGGTAGACATTGTGGTTCTCAATATTATAATAAAATGAAAAAAATACAAGGTACCGGTAATCCCCATTCAGAACGGAGCATATCTCCTAATCGTTTCTTTTCTTAGTTCCAATGCATTTATCAAAACATTTGAGAGGACTTTTTATCATCTGAGCTGCCATTTATCGAGCAGAAGCAACCTTTAGAAAATAGATTTCTGATTTGTGTCCAATGTCTCAGTGCATCTCTAATGAACAGCACCCAGTCTTACTGGGAAATGTGACTCTGTTTACTTTGAGTCATGTTTTTATTAAATCTCCCTAGATTGTTTTGCATAGTTTGAGCAAAGAAACGTTTTTTAATCTGAGCATGCAACACTGTGCAGCGCAGCAGTTGCTCCTCTCCTACCAGGCTTGGGTGAGTCTACAGACAACGGTGTGTGTGTTGATGTGTGTGCGTTGATATTTTGCTGGCTTGCTGCCACCTCCTTTGCCTAGTCCCGCCTCTTCCCTCAGCAGTCCTCTTTTCTGCGTATGTACCTCTCTCACTCCGCAGGCACAGGAAATCCACAGTGGAGAGAGAAACATCAACACAGAGAAATAGAGTGAGAGAGAGAGGAGCTGGATGATCAAGGGTTGCTTGTCACGCGAGCGCGCCGTCTGTCAATCTACCCCCCCTTTCCTCCTGACAGGCTGCTGGCCGGCCGCCAAAGCCTTGCGTGCAAGCCGGCAAGCCACATTAACCCATAAAGAATTTCATAATAGCAACAGCTGTTAAATATTGATGACTTCTGGCAAGTTCTCAATGGCAATCTGCAAGAAAAGGTTAAGCCTGCACTGTAATTTAAGCTCGGGCTTTATTATGCCACAGATCA